GGCTGGTTGACGTCATCAACACTATGGTAGCAAATAATTTGACGTCATCAACACTATGGCAGTAGGTTAATTCACGTCATCAACACTATGGTAGCTGGTTGGATGACGTCATCAACACTAAGGTAGCTGGTTGGATGACGTTATTAACACTATGGTAGCAGGTTAGTTCACCACTATGGCAGTCGGTTGGTTCACGTCATCAACACTATGGCAGTAGATTAGTTCTCGTCATCAACACTATGTAGTACCCGGCAGATATAAGAGGGTGTGGCAGCTCAATGTTCAACTCGTCGTTATCGCTAAATACTTGATGCTGTTGTCATTACAGTCAATATTTTTACTATTTTTCTCTTAAAATTACATGAATCATCATTTTCCATTACCATAATAGTTGTTGTTGTTGGTGTTGGTAGTAGTGGGCGGCCAGCGCGGGTGGAGTGTCCTTCCTGATCTAAAGTGTTCTTGGAGGACATACTCGGGTGTGGGGGCGGGTATTTCACGTGTGTCCGTGAATATCGGATGTCACCCTAAGCATCGTCACCGAAGGTTCTTCTCATCCCTTACGGCATTAATCGCAAATAGTCCGTGTGTTCACCGGCGATCACCAAGCAAGTTGTGAGTGCTTGGCGGGACGGCTGGTGCAGGTGCCAGGTGCCAGTGCCAGTGTCAGTGTCGATAGGCCTACTTTGGCGGCGGTGGCATCGAGACTCGCCCCAATGGGCCAAGTGTTCCTTGCGGTCGCCTCCCACAAGTAACGGTCACTTCATGTAGTGACAACCGACCAAGTGAGTATATATAACTAATCTTACATCAGTGCGACCATAGAAATAGTGGTTATTTCTGCCAAAAATACATAAACAAGTGTTAGGGTGACAATTCTTGCTCCCAGTGTATCACTCTGATGTGTGGATTGTCGCCCTCAGGGGTGTGCCTACACACCGAAGGGTCAAGACGTAGCCTGGCGCTGCTCTGGCAGCAGCCACGTCAACTGTTATGTTGGCCCATACCAACTCCCTCCCTGAACCCCACCGGAATATCAACAAGTTCTCGCCAGAAGTTACTATTTCATTTAGGAAAGGAATGGAACCAGTGTTGAATAGTGGTGAACAGTGCTTAAGTCAGTGAAAAACAACTCAACAGCAACAGCTGAGTCGTACAAGCTAACCTTCACACAGTGAGGTCCCAGGTACACAGTGATAACTGCCAGTGAGACTCAAGAATACCAGCTATGTGTTAATCCGTTCACGATAGGGAGGCCTGGGACCACACCTCCTCACTAAATTGTGACACCAGACCACGTGGTGTCCCCATGATGCTACACAGCAGTGAATGAGTTGCTACAGCATCACACAGCCCCTCATAACACCATCTGTGAGGGAATTACTACACCACGTCAAGCCCTCATAACACCACCTGTGAGGAACTACTACACCACGTGATGCCCTCATAACATCATCTGTGAGGGATTACTACACCACATGATGCCCCTCATAACACCATCTGTGAGAACTACTACACCACGTGATGCCCTCATAACATCATCTGTGAGGGAGTTACTACACTTATGTCTGCTGTTCAACACCTCAGCACACAAGATCTACGTGACCTACATACAACATTAATCTGTATGTTCACTGTATGTTCCTTTACCATTCTCTTATGAAGGCTTTGTTAAATCACCAATGTCAGTGTATGTAATAAGTCATTTATGTCCAATGTACATTTCAGCCTTCGGGCTGCAGAACTTTTCAATAACCCGTTAATTATTATTATTTATTTATTATTG